TTAAAAGGATGGGTCAGTAACAGATCTTCCATCCTAAAATACAGATTGGACTCTGTATACAAACCCTACCCAGAAAAGTACCTACTTGACATATCATGGACCAAACCATTTCCCAGTGATCTGTCAGTCCTGGGTATTAGTATGCTCAGTACACATTAAGACAGTTGCAGGAGTTGCTGATAAGGCTATATATGTTGCTGAAACGTGCATATAATCAGAATTTATTAAAATAAAACAATCAGAATTTATTAAATTAAAACAAAGGTGTTTCATTTCAAATTGGTCCTACAAAGTAAAAGACACTTTTTGGTAAAGGTGGATCAGGTTTTAGTGTTACTTATTATCAAACTCGCTTTTGAATTTCTTTCCTGGTTTGTTTTCTGTTTGTGCTGTTGTATGCACATGAGGTGATGACTCTAAAGGATTTTCTGATTAACCTTTGTTATCATGGAAAAAAATAGTTTAACCTGTTCAGTATATTGAGAAAACATTTTAGATGTATAAATAATTACCCTGGTTTCAAAGAAAACATATTGCTTTCTTAAACTAAAAGCTAGAAGCCCTCATTTTTTTCAGCTTAAACCCTGAAAAAATGTATTAGCTTCACTGTTAATATTGATTTTTCAAGGGGGTTCTATAATATAACTTTTCACTTAACACCTAAGAAATAAACAGCTATCCATTTTAATATCCTTATAATCCGTCAAAATATAGAATTTCCTTTAATAATGAAAAAGAAAAACCCCACTAATTCATCACAGCAAAATATGTTCCAATGATTAAATCTGTGTGTAACATATTTTAACATTAACAAAAGTGGCTGCAATATACAATAATTATTTTGCATATATTAAAGCAGACACACATATATGTATGCATGTATATTTATACACACATGCATTTATAAAACACAATCTTAAAACTGTTTCCGTTAACTTAAAAGTCAAGAGACTTTGAGGGGACTTTCCTTTTGACAGGTAAGTTCAGGCAGATACACACGCCCTGAGGTATGTACATACATTCATTCTAGCGTGCTGCGTGCTGGAAGAGTGTACAGTACACGCATGACTGAGATTACACTGCAAAGGAGATGAAATTATTTTCTCATGTCTTCAGATTTATCTTTTCTGAAGCAGATTTGCTATTTGCTTATTAGACAAGATAGGACAAGTTTTACCTGTTGCTTGAAAATGCTTTCTCTGTTCTGTGGCCTGAAACAAACACATTTGTTCTAAATATAGTTTATTTATTTTATTATCTAAACCACATGCCACATTAATCAATTTTTCCCAATATTTTTTAGCAATGAAAAATGTTTATCAGTTTGTGTTTTTAATTGAGACTAGTAAAAGCTGATGTTGTGGAATCAGGAATTATCATTCAACACAAATGAAATTTGGATCTTGCACATCTTGACATTCATTGATTCAACACGTTCAGTTGTGACCTGGACCGTGTTCCTTATTTTCTTCTAAAAGATATCAAACCAAAGATGGAAGGATAAAAAAAGTCTTTATTCAAGGTTAAGTTCAATTATCTTTACTGCAGCATTTCCAAAAGTTTTTGGAACAGTAAGAAAGTGTAAGAGTTTGCAGTTTTATGATTCTTCAAGAGTATTTCATGAATAATTCACACTTTATATGCACATTCTTTAGTCGTGACTTTACACATTGATACATAACTTGAAGAGGACTGTATTGCCTTAACTGCATGTTTACGCTAAGTAATTCCGTATAGTTTAAATTCAGCAGTGAGCTACAGCATAGTTCTTTTAATTTGAGATATCAGAAAACACATGCTGAATTGAGAGTGCAAATTAAATGGCATAAAGTCAGTATAAAAGGATCTTTATTAGAAGCCATGTCAGGCCCCTGAGCATGTCTGCTGGGAAATTAATTAAGAAGTTGCTTGAGAACTTATATACTTAGGCAGCTAATAAAAGTATTTTGGTTGTTTCTTGCGGTAAACCTGGCTCCTGAGTGCATGCTATATATTAGATGTTTGCATTATGCAAGTTCTCCAACATAATAACATAAAATATGTTTCCTCCCCTTTTATCAATGTCCTATCACTTGTAGCAGTGGTCACTCATGAACACACATGAGCACAGGGTGCTGTAGCATTTCCTCATTTAGGAGGTCCTGGCTAATAAACACAATCATTTAATCTGTCACTTGTCACATACCAGTTGTAGGAAGATAGCTAAAATATATTTCCTTCAAGAAACAGCTCTAAAAACTGAAAAAAAATTGCCTTGAGACCAAATCAAAATAAAGACATTTACTAGTTTAAGTAAGCGGAATGCCAGATAATTGAGATAGTGAGCTTATTTCTTGTTTCTAAGTATCGAAAGGTATTAGCTCACACATAAAGTTATTAACATGTATTGGGTCAGTCTGAGGTGAAGTTAATTTTCATCATAGCAGCCCTCATAGTGCTGGGCTTTCTATTGGTATGTAGAAAGGGGTTGACAACACACCAGGGTTTTGGCTACTGCTGAGCAGTGCTTGCACAACATCAAGGCTGTGTCTCCAACATTCCCCCACCACCACCAGTGGGCTGGGAGGGGGCAAGATCTTGGGAGGGGATGTAGCAGAGACACCTGACCCAACCAACCAAAGGGATATTCCATACCATATGACGTCGGCTCAAATATAAAAGCCAAGGTAAAAGGGGGAAGGGGGAGCATTCATCTTTTATGATGTTTTTTCTTCTGGAGCAACCACTATGCATACTGAAGCCCTGCTTCTTGGGAAGTGGCTAGACATTGCCTGCTAATGGTAAGTAGGCTTTTGCTTTTTATTAAACTGCTTTTGTCTTGACCCACAAGTTGTTTTTTTTTTCTTTTCCATCTCATTTTCTCCCTGTCTGTCCTGCTCAAGAGGGGAGTGATAGAGCAGTTTGGTGGCACCTGGCATAGAGCCAAGGTCAAACCATCACATAACAGAACCGAGAGAGGTTTAGAAAACAAGTTGCATTCAGCTGCTATAGCAGGTGTGTTCTTGCCCTCTTTTATGATACAGAATATCCTACCTGGTCTCCTGCCATGAAATCCTGAATCCTGCCAAGCCAGAAGTTTGCTGGTCTTTTCTGAGTCTTGTTTCATATCTGTGCTTATGCCATGCAGGTGCTTCAGATAATCAAGGGCTTTAAAAATACTACTCAGGTACCTCAGATTTACTTGTTTCTGCAACTTCCTACAAAGCTGGATGTACAAAGACCTGTAAGTGGTGGAGTAACTCCTAGGACTGTTTTATGCAGTCATTGGAAGAAAGAGTTGAAGTCCGTCTTTTCTGAATCAAGTGAGTCAAGCTGATTGAGGTTTATGAGTTATGGCCCTTTTAAAATTTTATCTCTAGTCAGTGGTCCTTCACTTTCTGCTGCAAAATAGAAGCTCAACTGCAGAGTTGGAATATGGCCCCTATGTTTTGAGAAGACTCATGATTACTGACCTATGTCAGGTATGGTCTCAGCATGTCTCCTGGAAATGCCAAGGATTTTTTTTATGCTTATCTGAGGATCCCCATCCATATCTCATTTTCTTAGAATGAGATGAGCATAACATTTTCTCAGCCTTCTCAAAAATAAAGATTTCAAAAATAATGATTCCAGTCAAAATTCATATAAAATTTCAACACAGTAAGCTGCCTTTTTGCCAGCTGCTTTTTCCCCAAGAAAACACAATGGAAAAATCGGGGTCAATCAGGGAGAAGATGCTTTGTAGTTCCAGCTTGTACTGTATTACCAATAAAGTCTATATTCTATTGCCTTGCAGCTACCAGTTTCTTCTCCTTCAATCTGTAGACATTCATGCTGTTGAAGACCAAGATAGGGCACTCTGGTTCTAATCCTGACCTTTGATTTTCACCTGCACTTATCAGGTTGCCTGGGAGAAGTTAGTGTCTGGTGCATGGGCAATAAATGAGTTTAGTCTAGTCACCACTTACAAAGAATATTGAAGAGGAAAGACCAATATGGAAACCTGCCCCAGTTCCAGAAATGCTATCAAACTGAATTTATCTGCTTTCATGATACAGATTGTTTGTTTTCTAGATCAATTGTAATTCAAGGAACATATTTATGTTTGTATACTCTGTTCACAAAAACTCATGAGTTCACCATTAGCTTTCAGTACATGCAAGGTATTTTCCAGGGGGAAAAAAAACCAACAAAACTTTACTGCGAGGACCAGTAATCCTGTAATCACAGCTGTTATACTGTATGAATGTTGTTGAACTGCAAGGCGTTAATCACAATTCTTTCCTCTTTTACTTCATTAATCTATTATGTTTAAATATCTTCTAACCACTTCCTCCCTCCACCTCCTTCCTTCCTCCTTTTCTGTGTTTATCTTTCTATCTTGAACGTAATTCAGATGAACATTATCATTAAAGGAATGTTATCAGAAATGTGGCTCCTTTAAATGTAACCAAACATGAGTATCGTTAATATGAATTATTGCATTTAAATGTAAATGACACCATGTCACACCAGTATGCCTATGCATGCATGCAGTCATGACAGAGTTGACACTACAGAGTAGGTAATTTAGAGAAAAAGTAGTTTCATAGCATTTAATAGTAATTTTTAATTTACATTACTATCATTCACGATTAAATTAGAAAAATTCCAAGGGATAAAAAATAAATAGAAAAGAGGGACCTACATTTTACTGTTTTGCTTTTGAAATATACAGACATTACTTGAGTAGATGAAATTGTGTAGCAATGGAATTTCAAACCACTAATTTGCTATTTTCAAAACAGCAAAATGTTGCAAAAACTGTATAAAACTATTCTGCATAGGAATCTTTAAGAAAGAATGTTTTAACTGGTGTTTTTAAGGATAAGCTGAAGAATCTAAAGGGAAAGAAGCCCGTTCCCACTTTGTGATGTCTAGTAAAATTCAAAATTACATCTGAGAAATACTGAAGTAAGCTGATAAAAATGTACTGCTTTTGAAAAATCTTTCAAAGATTCAGAGAGGGAAACTAGACTTACCATCATGTTTGAAGGCCTCTGAAAAGTGGTAGAGGTTTGTTGGGGAGTGATAATGTTGTGCAGCTCCTCTCCAGCCTGGTGAAGATACACTTCCTGATGAAGGACTGCTCAGTCGTGGTCTGTTCTTTGAATTAAATGAGGCTAAAGATGAAGTACCAGATTTGATTCTTAGGATAGCAGCATATGAAGTGGGGACACCAGGAACAGCTTCTGAATATTCTGAAAAAAAAAACAAGAAGTGAACACTGAATAAAGATTAAATCTATCACTTTTCAAAAGAATCTTTAGTTATGCAGTAGAGAAGTAGAAAAGCTTTAACTTGTAACAGGAGTGTCAGAGGCACCCTGGACTACACAAGGACTCAGCTTCTAGACAGAACTGGGTAACAGCATAGAGGTCCGAGGCAGAAAATTCCCCTGCAGTTTCAACACCGTATAAAAATCAGGTGTTATTAAATTTCTTATGGTAATATGAGTATTCAATATTTTAAATTCTGTTTCTATGACCCTAAGTCACAGTAGAAAAGTGTCTGCAAGATACCTTCTTTCCTTCACAGCCTTACATTACTTTGTATATGCAGCGCAGAAACACTGGTTAAACCTAAATATGCTTCTCATTTAAACACTAGTCTGCAAATGAAGTGGGCTAGCTAAAAAGCCCGAGCCCATATATGCACAAATATCTCTACCAAAACCATGCACATGCCGAAGTCGCCTCCTTTTCGGTATCTGCAACTTCCCTTTTTTTTGGTTTTCTGTCTATACTTAAAATTTCAGTTTCTACAAATAAAAAATACTGCCCAAGCTTTTGGTCCCTGTATAATGCCAAATATATGAGAAATAAATAAACTATATCACTATAAAAGATTAAAAAGATCACTCAGGAGCTGTAAAGGAGGTGAGAAGAACATTTGAAAAACCATTTATATGTTATATATATATATAAATATTTATGAGCAAAGGGAATCAGACTGTGTATCAAGCACCTATGAAGGAATTGATTTTTAGGGGACAGTGGCTGGCAGAAAAAAAGATCATTGTTCTGTCATCTCCATTGATGATAAATATTTATAAATTGGACATTGTTCACATTGGCATAACATGAACAATGAAAACTCTGAGTGTTCAAAATCTTTGAATAGCAGCACACGCAACTGAAAAAAAGGTCTTTAAAATATTAGGTCATGGCCTTGCTGGAAAGCTTTTGGAAGAATATTCTAAGCATAATTATAGTTTGGACTATTTCATATTTCAAATGGTTTGACATTAGCAGAATATGCATTTTACTTTATGAAGATTGTGACAGTTAATGCTTAGATCCTTTCAGGTTTAGGAAAAGTTGATTTCAGTACAGTTTTTATTGTCTCTGATCAGATGTTAAAAATGCACTTCTTCTACCTTTTAGAAGAAGCTGGAATTTGGCAAAAGCAGATGACCAGGATTTTAAAATTACCACTTTCATCTATGCAAACTCTAAATATATAGTTTATATGTTGATGCCTTATCTCATTTAAAATTTGGAATTAAATATAAATTTTGGCAATCAGATGTGAAAGGCACAAATTATTTTTCATCCTGGTCTCACAAACCATCTACTTTATAATGTGCATCATGCTGCATGCACCATGGAACTGTTGGAGTGGGTCCAGAGAAGGGCTACTAAAATGATCCGAGGGCTGGAGCACCTCTCCTATGAGGACAGGCTGAGGGAGTTGGGCTTGTTCAGCCTGGAGAAGAGAAGGCTGCAGGGAGACCTGATTGCGGCCTTTCAGTACTTAAAGGGGGCCTATAGGAAAGATGGGGAAAATCTTTTTAGTAGGGCCAGCTGTGACAGGACAAGGGGTAATGGTTTTAAACTAAACCAGGGTAGGTTTAGACTAGATATAAGGAAGAAATTCTTTACAATGAGTGTGGTGAAACACTGGAACGGGTTTCTAGAGAGGTGGTGGAGGCCCCATCCCTGGAAACATTCAAGGCCAGGTTGGATGGGGCTCTGGGCAACCTGATCTAGTTAGTGGTGTCCCTGCTCACTGCAGGGGGGTTGGACTAGATGACCTCTAGGGGTCCCTTCCAACCCAAAGCATTCTATGATTCTATAAACCTATGCTGGTTCTTTATATCATGTACGTAATATCACCTTTCCTGGCCCACAGAGAGGGGACATAGAATATCATCATGATAAATTAAAATGTTGTATGAAAATATATCCTTAAAGATGTATTGAAACATTATCTTTGGAATATAAATGTGATTTCACAAAAAATATCTTGGTTTTTCTTTCAATACATTCCTTCAACATTATGCAATTTAATGTATTTTAGTTCTTTTAAAGTAATTTTTTTTTTATCAGGGGAAAGTAAAATCTTTCCAATTCCAGAGGAATATTAAAAAAAAAATCTTTAAAATGTCATATTAAAATCTATCCCCATTAAAGTAATTTATTTCCCTTCTGATTTCCCTGAGGTCAGAATCTCAAGGTTATTGATGTTCCTTGAAGAAGATTTTGTGGTTTTGACTTATTTTGGTCTCACCAAATTTTAATTTATCTTTTGAACAAAAATATTTTTGGCATTACAAATATAAATTATTTCAGATAAATGAGCTATAGTAGAAATGACCATGTTTAAACTATATATTATATAATTCTAACAGGGATACATATTCTGTTTTACAGGATCCAAATCTACCGCTTAAGAAAAAAAAAAGCCGAAAGAGTGGTGATTGCTGTTGGGAAGATATTCCTCCAATGTGTGCACAGACGTAGAAGAAATACACACTGGAAGGAATCTTACTTTATAGTAAAAATAGTAAATATAGTAAAAATATGCAGACCTGCCTTTGGTCCAAACTGTACAACACAGTATAATAAACCTTAATAAGATTTCCAAAGGAAACATGATTGTAATCACATATATAATGAATGTTCTGTTCCTTGAGTATTTTCTGCAGATACAGGCACTTTTCTATTTTCAGCATGGTATTTTAGCTCTATGCTATTTGCCCTGTGGCAAAGGACATGGATTTGGGAAAACTTTATGCCTACTTTTTCAGTAATTGATAAATACTTTGTGTGACTGCAATATGGTATTATTAGGCTGTTAAATGTACTATATGCCATAGATATATCAGTAGTAAAACTGATGTCTGAGGACTTTTTAAACTATGTAGTCCATTTGTTGACAACAGAAGATAGTTCGTTAGATGATGTTCCTGAGTATATCGGCTATTCTAGCTTGACAAGATGCAAATAATTATTTTTATGTCACTTCATTGGTAAAATTATGAAACAGTCTTCCTTGATGTGCAGACAGAAAGGCTTCCTATGCAATCTAGAAAATCTGAGCTGTCTATTGTTTCTTTTGCAAAGAAATGGAGATTAGCAATCAGAAAGTAAATAGTAATAATCCTGATTCTTAGATAGGCCATTTAATATAGGATGATTAAGGGACTGGAGCATCTCCCCTACAAGGAAAGGCTGAGAGAGTTGGGCTTGTTCACCCTGAAGAAGACAAGACTGAGAGGGGACCTCATCAATACATACAAATATCTTAAGGATGGAAGTCAAGAGGATGGAGCCAGACTCTTTGCAAGGGGTGCAAACTGAAACATAAGAGGTTTCAGTTGAATATGAGGAAATACTTCTTTACTCTGAGGGTGACAGAGCACTGGAACAGGCTGCCCAGGGGGGCTGTGGAGTCTCCTTCTCTGGAGATATTCAAAGCCCGCCTGGACGAAGTCCTGTGTAACATGCTCTAGGAGAGCCTGCTTTAGCAGGGGGGTTGGACTAGATGATGTCCTGAGGTCCCTTCCAACCTTTGCAATTCTGTGATTTTATGTTCCTATTGCCCTGTATTGTCAGCTTGGAAATTGGGTAGAGCAAGCACGCAACTCTGGATGTTTCTACATAAACATACTCTATTATAATCATTCCTTTTGTTTTCAATATTAAATTTTTCAGTTCAATGACACTCTGAGAACAAAATGCAGCCAGGCCTCTGCTCCTCTAGTGAGTCTGCCACTCAGCTCTCCTACTTGCTGTGTCTCTCATTCTCTGCGGTCTCCACCTGCTTCCATAAAAGTCTCTCATATGATCTTGCTCATAGGAGAGACATCCTTCTACCAGGTTCTGCCAGACCTATCACTCAGTAAACAAGTTAGGACAAACAAGTAGCCTTTGTCCCTGCTGCCCAAGCATACAACAGAAACAAAAAGTAGCATGCATATATAAAGTTATATAAACATACATATAAACAAGCACATCAAAAATTGTGTCCTCCATTACACTTAATTCATTTACCACCAGGCCAAATTGCAGATTATTCACACATGGGAGAGCAAAATAACCATTAATCCTTTCTAACTTGTGCAATGAAATACTTTTTATTTTTAGTCTTTTTAATTGTAAGGGCATGGCAACTTACAAGACAAGGTGTACTACATTTCCTAGTAAGCTTGAGCTAACAGGTATTGTATTCCTGACCTAATTAGTTTGGGACCAGACTTTATGTCATTAGGGTGAGTGCCTGGAACAGCCTCGAGGCAGAGGAATGCATCTGGAGGGGAAGGAGGTTTGAGGAGGTGCAGGAGCCAGACAAACATGGAGGGCTAAGCAGTAAGTGGGACTGGAGAAAGGAGAAAGTGCAATAGTGAGACTCGCTCCAGGCTGCCTAAGTTTTGCCAACAGATCACCTTGTTAGACAGAAGTAAATAGAAGTCATACTGAAATCTCCAGTGGTACGGAGCCTCCCTTTCTGCAGAAGTTTGAATCAAAGTGCAGTTTTTACTAATGCATTGTTTCTCATTTTTAGGCTATTACTATCCTGTTTCTTTGCATACGTAACACAATAAGCTACTCCGGTAAATAGAATTCAACAACCCTGAAATAGTTTTGACAACTTCTTTTTGCTGAAATAGTATGTGTAGGCAGCTTGGTGAAATGAACTTGTTCTGTGCTGCCTCATCAAGTCAAGAAGACTGTAATGCTTTTCCCACATAAAAAGAAAAATATTTTAAAAGAAAAAACATATTTTAAAATTCTTTGTTATCTAGTTGAATGGGGAACATTTGTTCTGCAGTGGTAAATCCAGGGTTTGAAAGAACAGAAGAATCACCATGATCTCATATGGCATGAATGTAAAGTACCATGGGAAGAAAGACAAGGAAAGGATACAAAAGTCACTCCACACGGTGTAAAGGTCCTGCAGTAATGGCAGTATTACG